GAGCTCGGTAAGATTGATTTGGCGGGTCTCTTGGCGGCTGTTCAGCCGCTCCTCACACCCGAGACGATCAAGAAGCTGGTTAACATCGTCAATGGCGCTGAGCCCCTCATTGCCAGCCTCGGCCAGCTTGACCTTAAGAAATTGCTTGATCAAGTCGGTCCTCTTCTCAACGAGCTCGGCCAAATCGACCTCGTTGGTCTTATTGGGGCTCTCAAGCCCCTCCTCACCCCTGACACCATTAAGAAGCTTGTTAACATCGTCAATGGCGCTGAACCCCTTATTGCCAGCCTCGGCCAGCTTGACCTCAAGAAGCTTCTCGATCAGGTCGGCCCTCTCCTTGAAGAACTTGGTCAGATTGACCTGGTTGGCCTTCTGGATGCGCTCAAACCGCTATTGTCAAGAAATACCATTCTTGGCATCGTCGAATTGCTGCAGAATGCCGAGGACCTCCTCACAAAGGACTTTGTTGTGGATACCCGTGCTCTCATCAAGGGTGCCAGCCCTCTCATCGCCAGCCTCAGCAAGCTTGATCTCGATAAGCTCATCACTCAGCTGGGCCCTCTTCTGGATGAAATCAGCAAGCTTGACCTCAAGGGTCTCTTTGATGCCCTTGCTCCTCTGCTCACTCCCCAGACCATCAAGGGTCTTGTTCAGCTCCTGACAAACGCCGAGTCGCTGCTCACTGCTGAATTCGTCGATCAGACCAAGAGCCTCATCAGTGGTGCCCTTCCTCTTATTGACGCTCTCAAGGACATTGATCTCAAGGCCTTGCTGGCTCAGCTTTCGCCTCTGCTCAATGCTCTTGGCAAGATTGATCTCAAGGGAATACTCGACGCCGTCAGCCCTCTACTCACTCCCGAGTCCATCCGCGGTCTCCTCGGCCTTCTTGGCAACGCCGAAGACTTGCTCACTGGCGACTTTGTCAAGGACACCAGAGGTCTTATTGCCGGCGCCGGTCCCCTCATCGCTGCCCTTGGCAGTGTTGATCTCCAAGGTCTCTTCAAGCAGCTTGGTCCTCTTCTTGCCAGCATCAGCAAGCTTGATCTTGCAGGTATCATCGACTCCTTGGCTCCCATCCTGTCCAAAGACAGCATCAACAAGATTGTCGGCCTTCTCACCAACGCTGAAGATCTCCTGTCTCCCGACTTTGTCCAGCAGACCAAGGCGCTCATCGGTGATGCCGGCCCTCTTCTGCAAGCCGTCAAGCCTCTACTTGCTGCTCTTAGTGAGATTGATCTGCCTGAGCTTCTTAAGCAGCTCAGCCCTCTACTTAAGCAGCTCAGCCCTCTGCTGGGTGCCCTGGGCGAGATTGACCTCAAGGCTCTCCTTGACGTCCTCAAGCCTTTCCTCACTCCCGAGTCTATCAAGAAGGTCCTTGGTCTCGTTTACAACGCCGAGGATCTCCTCACACCCAAGTTTGTCAATGAGACGTCTTCTCTGATCAGTGGTGCTCTGCCGCTGGTTGAGGCGCTCGATAATGTCAACATTCCTGAGCTTCTCGAAAGCCTGAAGCCTCTGCTCGACATGGTCAAGCCTCTTCTGGGTGCTCTTGGCGAGATCGATCTCAAGGGTCTGATTGAGGCTGTTGCACCTCTGCTCACCAAGGAGACTGTTGCTGGCATTGCCACACTGCTGCTCAACGCCGAGTCTCTCCTGACGTCTGACTTTGTCAGCAACACGCAGGAACTGATTGGCGATGCCACGCCGCTGGTTGCAACAATATCTGACCTTTTGCAGGCCATTTTCTCAGCTCTGTCGGGCCCGTCTTCAAGCAGTGGGGGCTCGTCCTAAGTTGATTGATTATGGAACCTTTGCATAAGGTGACTTGCACATATGAATTTTAGTATTTATGTTTTATATTTTTGGATCTTGAATGATTTTTACATGAAGCGCAGGGCGGGAATCTCCCAAGCCCAAATTTTTTTTACGATTGCAGAGGATAATGAAGCCTTTTCCTGTTTGTGGATTGGTGGAAAGAAAAGAGTGTCAGAGGATGAATGAGATGAGATGGCCCTTGCCCACGGGTAATGGGCGACATGTCTTGCACATGAATTAATGAGTCAAGTGAATATTTAGCCAAATGCTAAAAGACTATTTCTACCATTTACATTTTATATTCGTGACTAAAAGAACGCGAGATGGTTGCCCTGTTTTACTCGCCGCGTGACGCGCCGTGCTAACCCCAGCGACTTGTCCAAAACAAGATCTGAATAGTGATGCTTGAATAGTGATGCTTGAAGAGTGATGCTACAGTTAGCTTCTTCGAGATATGGGAAACGTTCATGATACAAACATTGCTACTTTAACTTAGAAGCAAATAGTGGTCCATTCTATATTCTTTTGATTCTGCTTCTTCTCCGTCTATTCTACTTGTTTTAGTCTGAACTATTCTTCTCATCTACGCTTTTCCGTATTCTATTGTAGTCATTGCGTCTGGTATTTAGTGATGCAACATGTATTTACTAGGTTTTCTTTTTTATAAAAAAAAATGTAAATCGAGTCTTTTAATTGAAATGTTTTCGAGTTGCAAGAAACACTACAACGAACCCCCCTATCCAACCGTTCCGCATCGCCCAACTAGTGAGCTGACGCTCCAGCCTTGGGCGCAACGCAGCTATCTTTACTATTGATCCATACGGCGCCCGGCCTGTCAGTTTGGACATTGTACGTTATATTTTCCGGCGTCACCTCCCACTGCACCGTGGCGTTGCCCTGGCGGTACGTGCTCTCTGGCGTGCCCACGCTGCGGTAGTTGCACTGGCTCGTAATGTCAATCTTGCCCGTGGCCACGTCCAGGCCGCCAATGACGCGCTCAAAGTACTCGAGCGAGGCGAGGGGCTTGTAAAAGGGCACCTCGTGGCCAGACTCGTAGAAGCGCGTGAAGCTGTACTTGCGGAGCTGCTTGACCTGCCCGTGTACGTTTCCGTCGCTCGCGGTGAGGTTGGTGAAGCCTGCGTCGGACCAGCCGGCGACGTCGACCATGTCGGCGATGGTCTGGCCGCCGAACCAGTTGCAGATGACATCGGCGTCGCCGGCCCACATGGCAACGGCAACGTCGTGGTTGACGAGGTTCTGGAGGGCCTCGACGGAGCCGACGCTGCGGCCGTTGTCGGCGGTGGTGTGAAAGGCTTGCGCGACGGCGGTGCTCGAAGAGGAAAAGTTGGTAAAGGCGCCAATGGCCTCTTGGATGTCGGCTCTGTTGAGGTAGTTCTTGTAAAAGCCATAGGGGAAAGGACTGGGGTCTAGCTGGCGGACATCGTACACGTTGCGGTTCGCGTAGCGTGATGGGAAGCCGTCAATGTGGCCGATGCAGTAACGGTCCGCGGCCTCGCATTGCTTCTGGTCGTTGTTCTTGTGGCACTCTCTGAGCCTGTTGAGGCAGCCCTTGGGACCAAACATGTCCTCGTGCATCATTTCCTGGATGGACGTGTTGAACATGGCAAAGTCGTAGGTGCTGCCCGGTGAGACGGTGTAGTTGTAGTAGGCGGTGTACTGGACGATGGGGTCGTACCAGCCGTTGCCAATGAGGACGCTCTTGAGGTCAATGTGCGCGGCGCCGGGTATCTTTTTCTCATTCTGCTTCAAAAAGTAGTCGGTAAAGACGGGCGCGTAGTGGCCGCCGTAGGACTGGGAGACAAAGTGGACGCCGTGGCGCGAGTACTGCGGAAAGGCGCCCATGAAGCCCTGCAAGGTCCTCCACATGTTGGGTGCGGCATTGATTGTCGAGTTGGCCGTCAGGTTGGCGTGAGGCAGCGAAAAAGTGCCGCAGGTCTTTGCGTCTGGCGGGCACGTCCGGTCGGGCAGCGGCACGATGGTCTTGGTCTTGCCGTCAATGGTGCCCGGCACGGGCACCGAGTAGGAGAAGCCAACGTGCGTGGGCTGGTCGACAAAGAGGAGGTTGCTGCGGCGCGACCACGAGTGCGGGCGGTTGACGGGCTGGCCAAAGTAGTCAATCTCGCAGGGACCAATCTCCTTGAAGAGCCCGTTCATGGACGAGGAGCCCGGCCCGCCGCTGACCCAGACGCTGAGCGGCGCCGTGTTTGGGTCGACGTCGCGGGCTTCAAAGAACCAGAAGAAGGCGTGCTGGTCCTCGGCGACGTCGGCGTATCCGGAATAGCTCTTGACGCTGGGGTTCATCTCGCAGATGCCCGGGGGCACCTGCTTGTAGCGGACGGGAACATTGGCGTATCCTGTTACATTGGTAAAGGTGTCGCTCTTTGGCGGGGTGACGAACTGGGCGGCTGTATATCTGCCCAGGTAAAGCCCGATGACAAGGCCAGATAGCCAATGTAGAGAAACCATGTCTTGGAAATTGCACTCTGCTTTGAATAGAGTCTTGCCACTATACTTGTTGGTGGTAACCAAGAGAGCATGATGGAGGAAATGGAAATAATTGTGTCGAGAAAGTCAAGTGAATTTATAGAATTTGGACTTGACGATTCAGTCTTGAAACTACCGGTGACCAATTCCTTCAAATTCCACTTACAAGCGAATGACGCGGGGGTTCGGGGAGAGAACCATAGTCTATTTCCTCAAACAGGCAACTCGGAACGTAGACTCAAAAGCCTCATGGAGAAAATGCAACGGCTCGGGGCTGGAAACTGTCATTGCCATTGGCACAGAAAGCTCACGCGACCAAGATGGTGACGCAGGTGTTGGGTACCCAAGGAGGAAAGAACGACGGTCTGTCAATAGACTCGGAGCCAACGCCACCGAGCTGGCGGGCATGATATTCATTGGTTCATTGAAAGTTCTTTGTTCAGTTTCCGAATCTTTCAAGTGCCGTTTTCGACTCCATGTCCGGCAAGTCAATATCCCAATGGACCTTTCGGTCTTGGCTACGGAGGTAGCCAATACACGACAGGTCTCACGAGACCAACGGCAATTTTCATCCGCTTCCGGCCTCTCTAATAATGGTTGTTGGTCATGCACTGTATTAGGTTGACCGCTTTAACGCCGAAAAAAGAGTTTTTCGGGTAAAATTTGGGTTCGGAACGGATCTATTAATTAACCTTTGCGATTGAGCATCCGCAGCTTGCCGACTTCGTGGTGAAGTGCATTCGAGCCAATGGAGGCGCACGCCAAGGGCTCGGCCGAGAATGGAAGTGGAAAGAGTCGACACCGAGTATGCATGCCGCATCTGGGGTAGTCGGGCCTTTGTTGCTAGTCAAGGGCGGCTTGTCAAGGGCGGCTTGTCAAGGGCATCTTCGGCCTCGGATATGTCCCCAGACATGAACGGAGTTGGCGTGCGTCTTGGTCCGAGCAGAGCTTTGGGCCTTGTTCTGGAATGCGTCTGTACGTATACCAGTACCAGTAATGGACTTGCCGAGTACAGGCCCTGCTTGTTCTTTGAGCCGGTAATGGCGCCCGTCCTCATGACTGAAGCCACGACATGCTCTGAAATTGCGGCACCCTGGTTCGCAACATGGTATCCCTGCGTGGATCAAGACGAACGATAAAACGCCTCTTAATGCCGATCCACTGGGCTTGGAATTGCCGGGGGTAATTCATGACTGTTGAGTGCCGGGGGTGCGCGGTACCAAGCCCTTGTCGCACGACTTGGCGCACGACTTGGCGTCTAGCTTTTGGGGGAGAAACGTCGCAGACGGCCTCATCCTCGGTGTCGGTGCAATGAGTGGGCAACTCGACGATTGCTCATGTGAAAGAAAACGTGTTGGGGGTGGCGTTGGCGATGCGGGCGCCGACAACCTTGTGACTGCGAGCGAGCTTCGAGAGTGGAGAGAAATGGTAGACAAAATCGGGCAAGGTCAATGAGAGGAATTTCGGACGAAGGCATGTCGCGCGGCAGTTGCAAGGTTTGCAAAACTGACGTGTTGAGGCAAGCAATGTAAGCTGGTTGATGGTTGCGGTCACTGTCCATGTCACGAGGCAAAGGAGAAATTGACTTGAGATTTCGCTGAGAGGCTTTGCTTGATACATACACAGACTGAGTCATGAAGTGAGAAATTCGAGAGTCAATCTAAAACATGTAAGAAATAATGTAGCAGAAAGTACGGAGTACAGTGTCTTATATTTCGGCTGTTGTATGTTCGTCACCTGCTTGACAGCATTTCCTGGGGTCGCACAGATTGACAATATCGAGGGTCAAGACATTGTTGACTCTGACAGGCGTGAGCATTCTCACGAGATCATCTCAAAGAACTTTTGCTTCCGGTGGCAGCATCAAATATTTGCTTTTCATGCCCGCGAGGGATCGTTTTCCAGTGAGACATTGTGCATTGCTCGAGACACTGTAGTGTATTCCTTACAAGGTTGCCAAAGTTTTATTGAGATTGCCCGGATTTGAATAATTTTTGCAACTTGCAGAAATACCCGCCGAATGAATGCCCACCATCGTTCTAGAAGGTCCTGCGGTTCATCGGGTGACTTTCCATGTGCTCACAGAAATGTACTTGCTTGGCCACTCACTGTCCATTTTCTTATGGAGTTGATTTTGCACCTGATAGGTATAACTATAAAATAACTATTAGTACCTTAGCTTAGTATTATATTAATAATATTATTAGCTAAGCCTTTAACTTATTTTAATATAATCTTATTAAATATTTCGCAGTGCAATTGTCGTCGCACTATGATGTAATAGTTAGTTAGCCTTGCAAGTCACAAGGCTGAGAAGATGGCTAACAGAGTCTGCCACGTTGGCGCTCCAAGGCTGCGAGCATCATTTTATTTTTATCCAAGTATCGCGATAGCCTGTGTGCTTTTTTTAAAGAAGCTGCCATTTGCCTTGTTCGGAAGGAAATCCATCGACAAACTTTATTGTGCGACAGACTTGACACCTACACCAACTAGTTAGACGGCTCTGCAGATCATAACGCCAGCATTTATTTTACCTACATCATCGATTACAAGCCCCAGTCTAAAACTCCAAAAACTATTTCAATACAATAACGTATCCGGGAAAAAAAAAAAAAAAGATGGCGAGCTCGGTAGAGCAGCAGATTCGCAACGCCGGAGAGCGCAACAGCCAACTCCTCGAGACACTCGCCAGCACGGACGGCGCGGCATCAGCACTCGCCCAGCACCAGCGCTTCCAGCAAGATTTGCAAGACCAGCTCAAGCAGTCCAACCAGCGCCTCCAAAAGCTCCAAGCCCAGCGGCAGAGACGTCTGAGCGAGCACGAAAAATACCGCGACAGCCACGTGCGTCGCTTCATGTTCAAAGCGTCTGGAAAACGCGAAAAGTTTGCCCAGCGCGCCGAGGACGGCGAGCGCGAGTATTTCAAAGTCCTGCAAGACGCGCAGCAGGAGCAGAGCATCCACGCCGCCATTACGGCGCAAGCCCAGGAAGCGCAGCGCGCCGAGGCAGAGCTGCAGGCGCACGCGGACCAGCACGAGGCCGCGCAGAAGGAGCTCGACGCGCTGTACGCGCGCATCTTTGACGGGCCGACGCCGCAGTTTCCAGAGGAAGACGCGCGCGAGCAGCGGTACATGGCGGCGCTGCATGCGCACGGCCGGACGCGCAGGCGGTTCGACGCCGAGACGCAGGCGGTCGCGCAGCTTAATCTGGCGGACCGCGCCATGACGCAGGCGCTGTACGAGGTTGCGCAGGCGCTGGGATACTCGCGCATGGACATGTTTGGCAGCGGCGGCGCCATGTCGGACATGATGGAACGCAGCCACTTGGCGCGCGCCGACGGGCTGGCGCGAATGGCGCGCGCCCACGCGGAGCGGGCTCGGCGCGTGTCGTCGAAGGTTGGCGAGCTGCCTCCCGTGCGCATCAATCAAGGCAACATCATGTCCGACGTCTTTTTTGATAATATAATCACAGACTATGCGTTTCACCAGGAGATTCGCCGTGGACAGCAGGAGCTGAAGCGCTGCTACGATAGTCTTCAGAACATGGGCGACGCGGCTGATGCGCGCAGAAGGAATCTTGAGGCGCAGCTGGGCAGGCAGGTGCTGGAATTGAAGACGGCGAGGGCGGACTTGCAGCGTGCGAGGGAGGAGGTGTTTCGATTGGTGCTGCGGAGGGAAGCGAGTGGTGGTGGTAGTGGTGAAGGTGGCGGTCATGGGACAGGTGACGACTTGGAGATTATAGGCGTTGCCGAGGCGCCACGACGAATAGACTCTTTGCCTCCGGCTTACGATGTGGTTATGGAGGGAGACGCCGCGCCGGCTTACGATGCTGGGAGTGGTTCAAGTGCTGCACTGAACAGGTCATGATGGGCAGCCACTGGTGGTAAACATGTATTTGTAGTAGCTTTCTATACCAACGCCCAACGCCCTCTGTCATAGCATTGATTCCTGAGATTACATCTTTATTTCAAAGATTTCTGATTATAGTCAATCAAGATGACACGTAGAGTCCTAAAAAAGGGCTTCTGGTCCGCTGATGAGCCTTCTCTTGTAAGCATTGGAAATCGTAAATCGCCCATCCTGTAAACGCTGTAAACGCCCTCAAACTACGACGGCTGTGACATCTTCCCTCTGCTAAATGTAAAGGGGTGCCTGCGGTGGGCCGCCAGCCTGCTCCCGGTCTTCTTCCTTTTCCAAAACGACGACGCCCTTTTCCAGAATGACGGTGCCAGTGCGTTGAGGAACCGGTGATCCGATTCGAGGACGGCCTGGTCCATCGGCGGCTTCCTCCTTTACCGTCGACCTCTGCCTCCTTTCAGCCCTCTTGGCCATGAATGCAAGAAACAACTCGATCCCGCTCATAAACTGGCCGAGCGCAAACACAGACATGAGGCCCATGCCCAGAGCCACGGCCAGCTCAAACGGCAGCACGGCGCGGGTCAGGCAGAGCGTGACGCTGCTCAAATCTGCAAATCCGGTAATGACCGTGGGAAGTAGCAATGCTAGGAGGATCTGGTTGCAGGCGTGCGAGGCCCACGTCACAATGTCGCGCTGCTTTTTGGCGGACGAGGTTACAGAGTCGCTGGGCGTGAGGTCTGCGGGCTTGGCAAAGAAGAAGAGGGCAAGAGCGGCGATGGTGAAGATGAGAGTAAAGAGACTCAAAATCTGCGATTCCAGTCAGTTGTCAGTACAAATGGGGGAGTGCAATTTTTGTCAGAGAGGGAGGGGGGCATGGAACTTTACCCCATGGGCTGTGCGAAAGTGACCCTTGGACGCACCGGCCAGAATGCCAAACACGAGAATCAGAATCAAAGACGGTGGCAGTACAAACAGCCGAAGAAACCTGCTCGTCTTTGTAGTCCAGCTGCTGAGAGGACTCGGGATCTGAAAGTGTGCAGCGATATTCTGTAAGCTAGCAACGCTCAGAATGAGAGGCCAAATCACGTATAAGGCAATGATGGCGGTTCCAACTGGTTCGGGCAAAGGTTAGCTTTTAAAAAAATCCATAGAAACCCGGCTGTAAAGACATGGCAAAGCCAACTTACTGTGCAGTACCAAGAATGCTGTATATTTTGCAAAGGAAGACCCATTGATGCTCAGCGTCGACAGGACGTTGAAATCAGGCTTCCCCAGATTCTCTGCGAGTTGAGTGCCGTCGATAGCAAACGTGTTTCCCTGCGACTCGACTTGAATCGTCCCCATTGGGATCAACGACTTGAGAGTGTCGAGCGTGTTGCCGCTTGGTGTCCCACCAGACACGGTGCCGCTCTTTTGAAGCCCAGACGCAACGAGCAGCAAACCCGCGATGCCGTCGCACGTCAAAACGTCGACGCCCTTTTGCCCAATTGACGAAATGGCCGACGCATCAGCAAACAGCGTCAGGTTTATCGGTGGCGAGGCACCGTCGTTGTTGTTATCCTGGCGACGATCAAAGACGGCGAGGTCCCGCCTTTGCGGGTTGCTCGAATTGTCTGTGGGATTGGCACTCGCACTCATGCTGCGCGCAAGCAACTTTTGCACCGTCAAGACGCCCGACGTTCCCAGACCCTGGCCGAGTCCTACCGCCGCGCCACTGGCAGAGTCGTCAAAGTCAACCTTTGTTTCCGAAACAGGTCCCGTGAGCGCCACGGTCTTGCCGCTGACAAGGGCGTTGATCCCGCCGAGGGCCTGGACACCGTCTCCAGCACCGGTGAGAAGGCCTCTGGCCAGACCGTTGGCTAGGCGCGGAACGTCAATGTTGCTCAGGAGAGAACCGGCGCCATCGGTGCCATTGCCTCCAGACAAGCTCTTGATGAGCTCGCCTGCGGTATCGTTTGCCAGGAACCGCGACACCAGCGCTTCTGCAAAGCTTTGCGTGAGGCCCTCGGCATCAATGTCGCCATTCTGCGGCGATGCCTCCTGCACAGACGTCGCCGCCTCAGACTCTGGCTGCAGGCCGAGGCCAACCGCCGCACCGGTTCCTATACCTTTTCCGAGGCCAGACGCCACGGGAGCCGCGAATTTTGCCACGAGGCTTCCGGCATTCTTGGTCAGGCCGCTAGTGAGCCCACTGATGTTGAGTTGGCTGGTAAGCGCGTCGCTCAGTCCAAACGCAAATGTGCCAGCCAGCTGCGGTAGATCCTTTATAGATGACGGCCTTTCAGGCGGCGTAATGGCTTTCGCGCTCAGATCCAGGCCCTTGGCGAGGCCCAGCCCCAGGCCCGATCCGACGCTCGAGACAGTCGCGCCGAGATCAACGGATGGCAGGGCAGAAGCGAGATTATTGGCCTGAGAGGTCAGGTTGATCTTGTCTGTAAACGAGTTGCCGAGTCCAAAGGTAAACTTCTCCACCAAACCTGCAACGTCTTTCAAAGAGTCTGGCAGAGCACGAGCACTGATGTTGCTGCTGCTGCCGCTGCCGCTGTCCGCCGACCCGGTCAGCCCTAACCCTGCAGACGCACCGCCGCCGAGGCCACGGCCAGCACCCATGACAATTCCTCCGATATCGAGATCCGCCGGCAAAAGGTTCGACACGCTGACGCCGCTCGTGTTGAGGGACTGTGTCAGGCTCTTGCTCACGCCAAACGCCAGCGTGCCCGCAATCTTGGGAAGGTCCGCCATTGACGGCGCCGACATCCCCGACGGCGTGCCAAAGCCGCTCGTGTCGTTTTGCGCCAGCTTGAGCCCCAGCGCCGCGCCGCTTCCTATGCCGTCTCCCACGCTCAGCGCGGCAGAGTTGAAGTCAATCGGCGGAAGCATGGCGCCCAGGCTCTGCGCGCTGACATTGAGGCCCTCGGTCAGGGCGTTGCTCAAACCAAACGCAAACGTGTTTGCAATGCCGGCAATGTCTCCGTTGGATTTTGGCGCCGGCGGCTGCTGCGCCGCACTGGCAAGCTTGAGCCCGCGCGCGGCGCCCTGGCCGATCCCGGAACCGGCGCCGAGAGCAATGCCGCCGACGTCGAGCCCCTGCGTGGGCAGCAGCGACGACAAGCCGCCCGCCCCTGTAATGTTGAGGCTCGACGTCAGCGCCTGCGTGGCGCCAAAGCCCAGCGCGCCGATGCTGTCGACCAGACCGGACCCGTTGAGCGACGGCGACACGTCTCGCTTCGTGAGGCCGAGACCCATGGCACCTCCGTTGCCGACACCGGTGCCCAGCGACGCCGCAATGGAAGCAAGCGGCGGCAGCTGCAGCAGATTGCTGTCCACGACGGCTTTGAGTGCCGTGGCCGTCAGCCCCATGGCGGCGCTCTGGACAATGGGGTTGAGTCCGGAGCTCGTCATGCCGTTTTGCTGCGCGACCTGCTCGCCAGTGGTTTTGGAGTTCTGCACCGTCGTCAGGTTCAGCGCCTGCGCGGCGCCCTCACCGATTCCGACGCCGCCAAAGAAACCGGCGCCGGCGAGGCCGTCGCCGGTGGCGTTGAGAAGCTTGCCAAAAGCTTTACCGGCAACTTTCGACATGGCATCGGCGATTGGTCCTCCTGCATCTCCTCCGTCTCCTTTGTCACCTCCAAAGAGTTTTCCTAGACCCCCAAAGAGACCCCTTCTCAGATTCGCTGACTCGTTGGTGGTTTGCTTAGTCGAACCATCTGTGCTGTGTGTCTCTGGGGATTGTTGCTCTGGCTTGACTGGACCTTGCTCGGGTAGAATTCCCGACAGGAATCGGGCGAGTATGCTCTCCTGTTCTTCGTCGTCATGGCTGCTGCTCCGTCGAACGGTGCTCCTTTTCAGCTCGAGGCGGTGTAGCTTGTTGGTGTTGTCATTAACGTTTTGAACATGGCTGTCCAAATCGTTTGAGAGCATTTTCAGCTCCGAAACTCCATATCTCTTGGCCGCTTCTCGGGATGCATCGCTAAACATGCTGACCAGCGCCATGTACGTCCTCCGTAGTTGAACATCGCCTATTTCGGGAAATTGTGTGAGCGACTCCACGCTGCTCGAGCGGTCAAACTCATCATGATTCGAGGTTTCCTTGGCCAATGTAACTCGTACTGTACCCAGCAGCAAGCAAAGACCACACACAAGCAAGTAAGCTGCTCGAAGTAGCCTTGTACAACCCATTGTAGAACCGAATTAGTGACTTTTTCAAAGTGATGATGATGCGTCGGCCGGCGACGGGCTGGTTTCGTAACGTCAAACAGTTTTCTGGCTGGTCGTGCAAAAGCAAATGCGCAATTAGAGTATCGCTTTTTTCAACCTTTGATGCTCTTCATGGACGAGCGGAGCACTATAGGCGCGCAATACTGTGCACGAAACCACAATTCTTTCCTTCTCATGATAATCACAACAACGCATTGAAGCGCCATCATGTCTGTATTTGTAAAGTATGGGCAATGAACCACGACAGATAGGCGAGCTGCGCGGTGTTTCCAGCTTCCGTGATATTTTGGGCTGAAACACTGGGTCCGTGTTTGGGAGTCGCGTAGAATCGTGTTTCAATGCAGTAAATCAGCGTGTCTATTGCACCTTGGCTGTTACCCCAAACCCCATTTTCCCGTCCGGGTTAGGGAATTGATGCTCGAAACGAAGTCGCATCAAGACCCTGCCAAACCTATCCCTTGGGCTAGAGCCCGAGACTTGATGCATATCATCATGCGAGACGATGGGATATAATGCCTGCTGTACAGCCCATCATGTCGTCTCCGCTGCAACTGTCGTTCTTGACGATTCTTCTACATAGTAGGCGAGCTTGGTAGCGTCAACAGATAACGTCAACAATCCGCTGGTCGGCGACACTCACAACTCGGCTGTTTTGGCACTAAACCGCCACATCTTGAAACGATGCCAACACAACAGCGATGACATGTAAAACTGAAAATGCTCCGTATGAGTAAGCAGAAGCATATTAATTTCCAGCACAGCTCATCTTCCATAGTTATTAGCTGCAATATCATAACGTCAATCTCAGCAACTTCTATTACCCCAGACTTGAACCGCGGCATCCACATTTATCAAGTCTTGAGTGTAATAGCACCACTCCAGTTGTTCTTTTCTGTTTAATCAGGAGGAAAATTCGAAATGTCTCAAGTTTGAAGTCGAAGAGAAGCCCCACAATGGTCATGCGCAAGCCAAAACGTCCACCAGACAGTTCGAGCGGGTGCCAAGATGGCAATTCACCCCAGATCTCTATGAAAATCGTCGTCTTGATGCCTGCGGCGTTCCTTTGGCGCGCTTGTCACGATCTGCACCGCGACGGCCTGTCTGGCTTTGCTTGGGTCCTTTGCCAGGCGACTGTCCGCATCCATTTCCCGCACCGCCTTTTGTAGCGGATCAAAGAGAAGAAGTGAGCGCATCATGGAGCCGGACAAGGACGTAACCAGTCAGCGAATGAAGAACCTAAATAAATGTGATGGTGCTGAGAAAAGGAGAGGAAGCTATCTGGAGGTGGCTGGTGATGAGGGGTATTCTCGCCTGAGTCAGCCAGTGGCAGGCCTTGCCTGCCAGCGCCACTTCCATCCTGGTCGCTGTAATAAGGAGCGGTACTGCTGCGGAGGATGAGACGCTGTCTCGTCGCGCTGTTGCTAACAATTCACCCCGTATAAAGGGGGTGTAAGGCAAAGTAGGATGAATTATTTATTAGCGATTAAGAGTGCCAACCAGGTAAAGATATACAGTGATCTCTTACCGATGCCACAATTTGTTCTTGTTTCGGATTTTCTTGTCGTTTGTTTTCTGTTCCATTGACTTGTCCCACCAACTTCTCTGTTCTTCTTCTTATTATTCACCCGGACTTCTGATTACGATGATACTTGAGATACCTGCGATTTACTAGTTTTAGAAAGAGGGCTATATTTTGGAATGGTGCACAGTGGTTCGTATAAATTTATGGCCAGATAAATGACCAGTGACGGGCGCCACAGTTTTTAGCGCTCAGTTACTGAGTTAGCGCCTTCTTCTAGCGCTAATATCGACGAGCATCCATCTTCCGTAAAGCGGCGTGCTGGCTTTCCAAGTTTGGTCATTCTTAATTACTCCTCTATAAACTTCCATACACTTTTATTATATTTCCTCAAATCTCGAGTTCGTGTCCGTGCAAGGCACACTCTCCATCCTCAAAGCAGGTGGGGGGGAAAAGTCGCGGCAGTAGTTTGTCCTTGGCTGGTCCCCCCGCGTCAGGCCCATCTTCACGCACCTTCACAACCGTCAAAACCTCGCGCCAATGTCGCCGCTGCCTCTTCGGCCGTCGCCGCTGCCGCGGCTCATCACATACTACCAGACGCTTCACGACAACGACGGAAAGTCCATTTCCATCCTGCCGCTGATTACGCAGCCCGACATTGCCGTGACGCACGTCATCCTCGCGGCGCTGCACATCAACGAGGACCCCGACGCGCTCACGCTCAACGACCACGCGCCCGACGACCCGCGCCACCAGACGGCCTGGGCCGAGCTGCGCGTCCTGCAGGCCGCCGGCATCCGCGTCCTCGCCCTCCTCGGCGGCGCCGCCAAGGGCACCTACGAGCGTCTCGATGGCAGCCCAGACGACGACCCGTTGGCCCTTGCCCGCTTCGAGCGCTACTACGCGCCGCTGCGTGACCTTGTCCGCGCGCGCGGCCTCGACGGCCTGGATCTTGACGTCGAGGAGGACATGAGCCTCGCGGGCATCGTGCGCCTGATTGACCGCCTGCGCGCCGACTTTGGCCCCGATTTCCTCATTACGCTCGCGCCTGTCGCCGCGAGCCTGCTCGACCCGACCGCCAACCTCAGCGGCTTCGACTACGAGGCGCTCGAGGTGCTGCGCGGCCGCGACATTGCCTGGTACAATGCGCAGTTCTACTGGGGCTGGGGCGACTTCTCCACGACCGTCATGTACGACATGATGCTGCGCAAGGGTTGGCCCCCCGACCGCCTCGTCGTCGGCCTCGTCACGAACCCGGACAATGGCACCGGCTTCGTCGCCTGGGACAGCCTCCAGCAGACACTCTCCATCCTGCGCCGCCGGCCCCACGACTTTGGCGGCATCATGGGCTGGGAGTACTTCAACAGCCTGCCTGGCGATCGCGACCGGCCCTGGGAATGGGCCCGCACCATGACGGCCATGATTCGCGCGCACTGCACGACGCCCGTGCCGCCGGTGGACATGCCGCCGCGGGCAGAGCAGGCACATGCTGCCGTGACTGGTGCGGATGTGGATGTGCCGGGTGGCAAGGAGCCAGAGGTACCAGCGCCATTCGATTACTATACGGATGAGGCGGAGGACTAGCAGATTGCATATCCAACGGGGATGACTAGCATTGCGACATTTTGGGGGAAATCACAACGCGGAAATCGGCAACAACGAGGCTCATGAATATCACATGTGTAATGAAGATGGACAACCCATGTACATAATATCAAACTAAATCTCCTTCAAGCTCCATATCGCTCGGAACTTACTGGCAGAATCCTGCAACAGCAGCGACGGCACGCCCTCTTCCACAATTCGCCCGTGGCGGAGCACTGCGACGTGGTCAAAGTCCGAGGCAGCACCCAGGCGATGCGCAACGCAAATGATCGTGCAGCCATGAAACTCGGTTTTGATCACTTGCCACATGAGTGACTCCGTCAACGTGTCCAGGCCTGTGTTGAACTCGTCCAGAAGCAGCAGTCCTCCGCCTTGGTTCGCTGTCTCGTGGTTTGCCCGCCTCTTTAATCGCCGACGAAGAATGGCTCGCGCGAGGCTAAACAGCTGCTTCTGGCCTCGACTGAGCGACCCTTCTTTGAGCAGCGCGTCTAGCCCACCGCGCGCGGAAAGCGTGTCCCATAAACCCACCATTTCTAGCGCATAAATGCAGTCCTCGTCTTGCTGTGTCTGTGGCCTGGCCTCTGCAATACCCGCAAGACTCAGTTCAGACAAGCTAAAGTGGTGCTCGAGGTTGTCGCGTACAGTGTATTCGCTGGTCAAGAAGAAGGGGAACTGAGGTAGGGCTACGATGCTATCGCGCAGCTTGTTACGATCGACACTGTCTGGTGCGACTCCATCGATTTCAACAGAACCAGAATGAGGAGTGATGAAACCTTGCAAAAGAAGCAAGAGGGTTGATTTACCACTTTATTCCATCATTAGCAAAAATTGACAGCATCCACATAAACCATGACATACCTTCCGGTTCGACCACAAATTAGCATTCTCTCGCCCTTCTTTACCTGAAGCGACATGGCCTTGAGAGCATCATCGGGATCTTCGGCCTCCACTAGGGCAATTTCCTTTCCTGGGTATGGTTTGCTAGTTCTTTGAAAAATTAGTCCAAGCTTGACTGAAAAAAAGCGCGACGTACTTGTACGCAGCAGAGACGCAATCCAGCTGAACTGCCCCTTCCGCAGGCCAGCTTTCAGGAGTGGACATTTTCTGCCCAGGTTCATGCTCTGGAGGAACGCCACCTTGCAGAAACTTGAGTCTGTTCAAAGCCACGGCTGATGGTTGAAGCGCTGTGTAGGACTGTATAACACCCCCGAGCATTTCAGCAGCCGACATGAAAGTGACGAGGGCAACACCGACGAGTCCAGTGCTGGCAGGCAGCCGGCTTGCAATGCCAACGAATACCGAGGCAACCATGGCAATACATAAATTCAGCATCATTTTGAGCCATGTTTGGAGCATTGCAGAGAGATATAACGATTGTTGCGATTTGTCGAGAAGTTGGTCGTTGAGTCGAATGCTACTTTCGGACCATCCAAAAGCACGAATGGTGACCAGGCCGTCAAGCGTCTCCTTGAAATGTTTGCTACGACGTGTTAAAGTCTGCCATGTGGAAATGTATATGGCTGATGAAAGGCAAGAAATTACTTGAGAGGATTGCGTCCTTCCGTAGCAATAGCCCTGAGCTGCACGGCTGCCCTGACGAAAACCCTTTGCACCCGCAGGAGGATGACGGAGAAGAACGGGTAGCCAATGAGCACGGAAGGCGATCCAAGAACTATCAAGATGAATTGAAACAACGCGATGAAACCGGAAGCAACAGTGTTTCCGACCGAATTAGTAAATTGGCTGTCGATGATGTTCATGTCTTGCGACATGTATCCAGTGGGAACCGACGAGTCAACTGTGGTATAGTAGTCCAACGACGCCTGAATAAGCGTCTTCAAAGCCCCAAAGTGCAGTTGCGAACTTGCCTTGGGCCCCATCACAGTACTAGTATAGGTAAAATATACCAGCATGACTAGGATACAAGTGATTTGTAGAGCCCAAAACGTTGCAAAGTATAGCCTCTCTTTGGATGCATCTCCTTCTGCCGCAATCCAGATCTCCAGCCAAAGTGTTGAGAACGTGAACAAAAATGCCGCTGCAATCGCAAGCAAAAAGAAGACGAAAAAGGTGCCCGAACCGACTGCAGCAAAGTAGAAACTATAGTCGTCGCTGTGGCCTGGCGGAACCATGGGCAGGGTACCTGACGTCGTCTTTGCCGCAGGCTTTCGACCCATGCCGACATTATGAATGTATTCCGCAGTGTTGACTTGTGAGGATGCCTTTGTCGTAGACAGCGAGGCTTCGCTGCTCTTCTCAGCAGGCAGCTGTGCTGGAGGGCCAGACCAGGTTGCCTGGCCATCCTTCAAAACCAAAACTTCGTCAAATAGATCAACAAACATCGTAGACTGGCAAGTGAAAATTACTGTAGTGTTGAGTTTTCTGAGAAACCCTTCCGGCCCAAAGACAGTGAGCGCAACATTCTGCGCCGTATGGGAATCAATACCACTAAGGACATCGTCGAATATTGCCACAGCTGGCTCCGCGTACAGGGAACGAGCCAGCGATATTCTCTTCTTTTGGCCACCACTCAGTGCAGCCCCCTGGCTTCCGACAATCGTTTCGTCGGCATTGGCGAGAGATTCAAAATCCGCTTGCAGCTGACAGCTCTTCACTACTTTCTCGTATAGGGCCGCTTTGAAGGGAGCAAAACCAACAATGTTCTCCCGAATCGTGCCGTTGACCATGAAAACGTCTTGGCTACAGTAAGAAAGTTGCTTTCCACGGTGCACTACAACTTGACCTTGCCTATGCTTAACCTCATCCAAAAGCCCCAGGCAAAGGGTTGTCTTACCAGCTGCAACCGGCCCCACGACGTAGTGAAAGACGCCAGGGGACATTGTAAGATTTACATTTCGCACTGAGAATTTGTTTTCGTCCCATCCGAAGCTAGCATCAACCAATTCGATAGTGCCTGGGGCCACGGTGTTGGCTACCTCATCGCGGTATGCTATGGGGATCTGTCCATCATCGTTTTCGGAGTCGAGGAATTCTTCAACACGTCCAACGGAGGTAATGGCGGCCATGACAAGCGGGATACACTGCAAAATATGCATCATGGGGTTCGAGAGGAGGCCGATAAATGCAAGGGATGTCATGACCTCGCTCATGGTAAGGGACTTGCGCGCGATGGTGAATGTTACGATTGGACAGAATACCGTGGGCACGAAAGCAATGGTTGCAGAAGCGGTGTTGAGGAGTCTGAACCGGTTGCCCAATCCAATCTCGCGCTCTCTAGATATTTGCACAACGCGGCCAATCTGGTTACCCAGGCCGGCCATTTTGATAGAGGGTAGATTTGGAAGGGCAGAGGATATCAAGCCCACCCGGCTTCCCAGAGCTTCCATCCAGGCATCTTGTCTCTTCGCAGTGAATCGACTGGCAAAAGTGGAAGCGCTTGCCGACATCAAAACCACAGCTAGCGGCGCCATGAAGGCCCAGCCAATGCGCTGCTTCAACAGCCAGCTAGCGAGAATGATCTCGAGCACGCAGATCCAGAACTCGTGAGCGTTCTTGACACCAAACTGGATCATATTCATCTCTGAATTCATCATGCTGAGTACAGAAAAACTTTTCTCCGAAAACACTTTGCGTCGCACCGTTTTCTGGTAGAGAGCAGGCACAAGGCACGAGCGCACTTGAGCAACTGCGCGCTCTTGATAGTACCCATATGTGCTCGTCGCCATGGCATTTCCGACATTGAGGAACAGCATGATGCCGATATAGGCAGTTGCTGTGCCAGCAGATAAATATGACGTGGTTTGGCTCAGTTCATTCAGAATGGAGTTGATAAAGAAGGGATGGGCGAATTTGAATGCCGACATTGTAACACGCGGTAGCACAGGCGCCACACAGCTGACCTTCAGAGTCGAACCAAGGGCACGAGCTGCTTTCCATCCTCGTACCCGTTCTTGTCGTATGGCTTCTTTGGATTGAATGGCACGGTAGTGAGTCATAAATCGAATTCGATGTATTTCCGCTCCCAGATTCTTGTCGAGGGGGTAGAGGTCGTCAGGCCCAATATCATGTCCGTAGGCATACTGGATCAAGTCGTTGAGCCACCACAAGAACACCTTGCCCAATGCTGAGCTCGAGGATATCTTGTCTTTCGAGAAGTCTGGCCAAGCGGTCCGTATCGGTTTGCTGGTCATCTCAAGGCCCAACAGGACGGCCGTGCAAACAGTGATGGCTGCGTAGATCCCTGTGAGAGCGGCCGGCGCCTGAGTCAGCCAGTGTGTGCGGAACTGCACTACGGAGCAGTTGAATGATGCGAACAAGAAGATGGTGATTGTATCCGAAGGTCGCGTCGTTCGAGCGTGCGCCAGGCGCGAGTGGAGGATCAAGATGGCGGCGGATGCCATGGACAGGACAGCAGAGAGGGCATCGTACCGGCCCCCATAGTTGTCGAAGAAGAGTTGAAAGTTGAGGTACGCGCAGTACAGCCCAAGAAGAACAATGGCAGTGAATGTGTTGGCCAACAATAGGTGAGGTGCGTGGCTGCTAGCAGACGTCCTGATCAGTCTTGCCATGCGTGTTGTGGCAACGACGATGAAGAGGACATTTGGGGCAATTGAGAGAGCCAGCTGTTCGAACGTTTTCGTAAAGTCGAAATCGTCGCGACAGCCGACCACGAGCGGGCCCCACCAGTCGTCGTTGAGGCAGCTCATGATACGTGTTTGCGGCGCGCGCTGATGGCTGTGTCACGTTAAGTGAGTTTTGGGGCCTCAAATTGTCGCCGTGATGCAGGAATAAATAGACTGAAGGGCATACCTAACGGGCTCACTGCCTATCATGACGAGTCATGTTGACGCCTGAACGGTAACAGCGTCATGCAGAGTAATAAATCAGTTTATAACGAGGCTGACAGGCAGAGGCATCACGTACTACCTGGCAAGTGGGTAGCCAACGAAAACGGACGCCGAAGGCTCCTGCGCAACTGACGACAACTATGAGTAGTACAAACATTATCTAGAACATCAGACATGCCTGCTCCCTGGTATCTGCGTGCTCGCCGACGCTTCAACGTGGTCCTCTACGGTGTGAACTGCTCGCTATTAGCCGCTGAAGAAAAAGCAACCCCCCTATTCCCGGCGTCGATGCACCCTCGAAAAGCTGAATCTCTGAATACAAACGATCTCAAGCAAATTGTCAACATCGAAATATTACGCGCAAGGCAACAGCAACCAGCTGTTGGCCGGTGGTTTGAGAGCAAAATGGCAATCCGCAAGCCCCAGAGGCTGCCAATCGTGATGGTTGTGATCGATGCCTCCCCAGTCAATGGAAATGTCCAAACCGCCCCGTCGCCCCAGTACCAGCCTCCGATCACAAGATGGCCAATAAACAGAGGCCAATGTGTCAATACTCTTCGAATGTGACCCAATCTTGTCAAACACCGGCTGTATGACCTCTGGCACGCCAGCCACCGCTGCGGTTATCCGACGTGCATCTCGCCAGTGCACTGAGCCAGTGGTGGGACGAAAAGGCGTCAACCAGGTTCGAAAGGGTTGCTCGGACAGGCTGAAACCATTATCTGACCTGTCGTACAGATTGGTTGGGCGACTCGGCAACTGGGCGATAAGAATATATGCAAAAGAAATTGTTTTTTTCTTAAATTCATATCCGCCCGGTCTCCTTTGTTGTCGCTTGCCTGGCCTGGTTGGGGTAAGCCGCAGTCCGACAGTTTTTGGTGATCCACAATGGGAGAGGTACATAAATATACACGCAATGGCTTAATGAGTTGATGTACCTCGCATCTGAGTAGCTGATCGGTGAGTGGCAACCAACGGGTCGTGTTGATCGGGATAAAAATGTAATTTCCTCTTCTAATAGAATACATTAGAAAGCTAGCTGCATTATCCGTCGCAGATTCTCAAAATGGATTGTAAGCTATATCAATTGTCACCCCTGGTGCTGGCCAGGCGTACCCACGACTTAGAAGCAAACCACCCATGGGTCGCAAACGGCCTGGACATGATAGTTGTTGTATTCCGGGAACGTGCCCTTCATGGCCTCGAGAATAGGGTCAAAGAACTCAGAGTTGAATCGGTTGGTATCGCAAGATGAGCATGGGTTGGCAAGGAATGTATCGTACTTGGTAGTGTACGACAAGTGGCCAAGCACTTTTTGAGCAGCAACGTCGGTCGCAGTGAGGTTGAGCGACTCAGGCATGACAACCCAACTCGGTACTTGAAGAGTTCCGTTTGTTGAAAGGTTGGTGCCGGGGATGATGGGGTTTTGGTTGAACCAGAAGCTGTTCATTCCAACGTCTCGCAGTGCCTTGATCAGCTGAAGGGTCATGTGTGTGTCTGAATCAATCTGGATGCCAGAGCACTCAAAAGTCATGGTCCAACCATCGCCCCGGAAAGGGCTGCCAACGCAGTTTCCGGTAATTTGATCCCAGACAAAGTTGTTGATAAAAGCATCCCAGTTGTTGGGCCAGTTGATGAATCGTGGGCTCAGAGCAGCATCAACGCTGAGTAGCTTGCTAGAGGAGGATTCAGTGGGAGTGGGCTGTTGGGTAAAGTCGGAAGTGCTTGGGGCAGTGGTGGAAGGGCTGGTTGTAGTAGGAGTCATATCGGAGGGACGATCGGGTGGGGAGTTATTACTGTTGCAAACAAAGGCGGACCAGCAGATGGCATCGTGGTTGGCAGTTTTGTTGACGGCTGCACTGATGGGTCTTCCGTGGTAAGACCAGCAATTCAATGTCTCGCCATCCTTTTGGACAGCATTACCGGCCTTGAAGCCCTCGGGAGTCTGTTCCTCGACATAGACACTCCAAATATCGCCATTGGGCATTGTCTCGGTAGCTCCAGATGGGTTCCACGGATAAACGCCGTTGCCAAAAGGAACCTCAACGGCCATCTCGGGTGCCCCCGGATACTTGTTGACTGAATCTGGCCACTGAATAGACTTGTACCAGTTCATCTGGCGAGAAGTCGACCATGATGGCTGATCTTTGTTGTCACCAATGCCACAATCGCAAAGGACCAGGGTCTCCTTGTCGGTCTTTTGAGCGTTGCTCAGAGACGCGAGGCCATTGATAATGGCAATTGCGGTAGTTAGCTTGAGCATGATGTTTCTGCAAACAAAACGTCAGTCAGATCCTTTTGGAAGCTGTAATGTTGACTTACCGTTGTGCAAGCGTCTTGGATGCCCCTGAATGTTGACTTGATGATAGCAGCGTATCTGGGAGATGAACGAGTCGAGGCTGAGAAAAGGCAAAGTTTGATGGTGGGAAGTTGAAGGAGAATATTCTGATGAGGAGACTGATGTTTTAAATTGCTGCCAAATCATGTTGAGGACTGCCAGCTGGTAGGCAACGCTGCCAGCTGGCAACGTCCGCCAAGCTCGCTTGGTTGCCGGCCGTCAAACATTGCCAGCCAGTCAGGGTGCAGAACACTTCGATACAAGTATCAACGATCTCACAGTATTTATAATCAAGTTGTGCAACCCGAGGAACGGTAGTGTTTGAGGCAAATTTGCGCTGTCTGGAACTGGTTAAAGGCTGACGGAAGCCAGCAATGCAGTATTGACGAGGGTCATGATAATCAGAGCCGTTAAGCGTCCCGAGCCCGACCGACTACCTACCATGCGCTGGCTGCCAAGTACAAAAAAGCAGCAGGACTACAGGGGAAAGCTACACATAAATAGCTGAGCTCCATTTGACTCTATTTTCCTGACTTGCTTGTTACTGCTGGCTTCCATTGATCTAGTGGTGGACCTGCAGGGTATGTACATCGCACGCGCACGTTAGCTTCAGCCGAAAGATTCTTCTCCATCATCCCGACCATAACCGGGGAGCACCCTCGACCCGCCATCGAAAATGTTCCGCCGCCAAATTCTTTCGCATCGACAAAACATTCTGCGGCGGCCGGCGCTCATCAGACAAGCGAAGCTGGCGCCAGGACGCTGCCGATCTACCGAGGCATCCAGCGCGTCCAAGATCGACCGCATCACCTCGAAGCTGCCGCGCCGACTGCAAAAATACACGCAGGGTCTGCGCAATGCGCCCTTGTCCCATGTCGTTTCGTTCCTTATCCTGCATGAGCTGACGGCCATTGTACCCCTGATCGCACTGTTTGCCTTGTTCCATTACACGGCGTACGTGCCGCTGACATACGTGACGGATCACTTTGGGGGCTACGTCGAGGCCGGTGTGTCGCGTTTTGAAAGATATTTTCGTCGCAAAGGCTGGTTTGGATTTGAAAAAGGTGCTGCTGGTGAGGATGGGAAGTCGGTGCAGGAGACTGCAGGGCAAACGCAGGATGCTGTGAGCAAATGGCAAACTGGTGATCCCAAGTACCGGATTTTAGTGGAGGTTTCTCTGGCCTACGCGGTCACAAAAGTACTTTTGCCTTTGAGAATCATTGGTAGTGTATCGGCTACCCCCTGGTTCGCCAGTGTTCTTGTCAATCTGCGCAAGGCTGTATTAAGAAGATAATGAAATCACGACACCAGTCTCAAGGCAGCTCCTTTTTTATTTTGTCTATCATGTTGTACTTGGCAATGATTTGGATATATCCGAGATGCATCGGCACACTACTCGAAGTTTGAAAGATGGACGAGCTTAAGCCTTCTCGTAGATCCAGTCGAACTGGGCGGACTTCCAGTTGATGAGGTCCTCCTTCTTGAACCAGAGCGCAATCTCCTTCTGAGCATTCTCGACAGAGTCGGAGCCGTGGCAGACGTTGCGGCCGACATCAATGGCGAAGTCACCACGGATGGTGCCGGGGGCGGAGGCAAGGGGGTTGGTGGCACCGAGGATGGCTGGCAAACGTTAGTCGTGGCCCAGGGTAGCTGACACAGAGGTACTTACCACGGCCAGTCTTGACGGCATCACGGCCCTCCCAGACCATGGCGCAGATGGGACCAGAGCTCATGTCTAAGACTATGTTAGTGGAAGTTTGGTGTAACAGTATCTATCGTTCATACACTGGATCAGGCCGGGGAAGAAAGCCTTCTCCTTGAGGTCGGCGTCTATGGCCATGTTAGCATTACGACCTAGTGTTCTTGCCCGTGGGCGCTTACAGTGAGTCTCAAGGTGCTCCTTGGAGGGAGAGACCAGCTTGATGGCAACAAGCTTGAAGCTATCCGGGTGTTTAGTGTTTGTGGTATTTGCATCGCGGGGTAGGGCACCTACCCGCGGTTCTCGAAGCGGGAGACGATGGGGCCGACAAGGCCACGCTATTTTTCTTGTTAGATATGTTGCAAGTTGGCATTGCAGATGAGACAATCAGTCAGTACATACCTGGACGCCATCGGGCTTGATAGCAATGAAGCTATTGCGGTGTTAAAAATGAGCGGTGGTGGGATGGAGGGGTGATGGCGGGGTCGGCGCTCACGTCTGCTCGGTAGACATTTTGGCTGAGGAATCGGGTGATGCCTGGAAGAAAGGGGGTTGTATAGAGGGCGGTTGGGATTCTGAAACGATTGAAGAGATCCTAGATTCAGACTTCTTGTTTTGAATCGGAAAGAGGAGAAAACCTAATCCAAGTAGTAGAAAAGGTAGCAGAAAAATTGGTGGGGGCAGGGTTACGGTGAGAGGCTGCCATAGTGGGCGGCTCAGGCCGACCTGTTTGGTGCTGCTGGCGTTGGGAGCGGGGTGCTCGTCGTCTGCCATTGTGTATTTACACTGTACGATGCAGAGAAACCTGGGTAGGTACGCGTTTGTAGACAGCCGACGGGCTTTGAATTTGTTGTTACGGTACTGGAGACTACACTAGGTTGCAGGTGCTCGATGAACTAGTCAATTGAGAGTGTGAGCGGACAGAATACAAAGCAATGATGGTAAACGTACACTCGCGTATCAGTATATCATGGCGTCGTTCCCATGCTGATCTTGGTCTTCTGTCAACAGTACACAGTCTCCTGCCACGAGCTTGAAGCGGCAGATCTCACACAGTGCACAGACCAGACGCTACGGCGGAGCTTGGGCCCCAATGCTGTAGCCGATGTAAGCGTTACAACGAGGCTCCCTTGTATCGGTTAGTTGAGTTTAACGGGGATGTCACGGCAATTACTGTTTCTGCCTGCAAACTCAGGCGTCCATGACCAGCACAGCGCATGGACTCAACGGCTCTTATTTTCAACGGGACGCTACGCCACGAAATAACATCACAGGCGCCTGGTTCAGCGCATCTGCATGTAAAATGAGCACGCATGAATCCATGTACTCGACTTGTCGGCCAATTCACAGAAGAGGTCAACTCGATAACTAGATTCATTGCGCCACTGCGATGATCTCTTGTGATAGTCTATCGCGTAGCACATACCCAGAAAATTTCCGATGGCTTCTCGCGATGGCGCCCCCCCGGCGATAGTGCCCTGGCCCAGCCTCCCTTGTTTGCCAGTCTGTCGTCCTGTCCATCCGAACATGACGGGGAGGGCGATACAAGTCGATGGGTCTAGGCCCTCTTATAGCCAACGGGGTGACAGTAGTCGCGGAGTCTTTCCCCGGCAGGTACCCGTATTTCGAAAGGGGTGATTTGCAACTCCCGTCCCCGCTAGTTACGCGCCGATCACAAGCTGAACTATTGCCAGACTATTGACAGGGACATGATATGAGCGTATACGAATATAAAAGGCAAAACGAGAAAAAAAAGCAGGGAATGAAAAGAAATGCACACCGTATCGAAAATGGGGAGAAAAGAGGCGACACTACCCACAGAATAGGAGCCCAAGAGGGAGAAACTGAGACACAATGAGAGACAAAAGAAAAACCTTCCGTCGGAAAAAGGAACAAAAAGGAGGAATAAACAAGAACGATTGGACCCTGAGCATTGGAAAACCGGTAAGCGTCACTCAAAATAGCCCACGGCACTAACGGTGCCCGGTATACCGGTTCAGGTACCGGTGTGATGAGCCTGGAACCACACCTTGGCAGCCTGGCAGGTGACAAGTGATAGTAAGCCCATTCTAATACCAAGGCAAGGCTGCTCAGTGCTTCTTAGTTGCGCACGGACTGATTGCCCATGAACAAACAGAGCCATGTTTCAATGTAATATGTAAACTGCAGTCTGTTAATTTACATCAGTTGTGGCGTTTGATATGTGATGGCAAAAATCGTCCTCGGCAACGTAAAGGGGCATGCTCTGGCCGAGGAGGCTCTCGCAAACTCGCGAGGGTATGAGGTTCGGGTCGCATCTTAAAAGGAACAGCAATCCTCTCCCCTCCCTAGAGCCATTGTTTCATCAGCAGTGCAGCCGTCTATCTCGTTGTCTTTGAATTTTTCCTTCTTTTGCAACTTCTGTTGCCACCACCACTCGTTAATATTTCACTCCCTTGGTTTTGATCTTCCTTCAGTCACTTGTTTACGACGCACGCACATAAAATATGAAGCTCACTGCTGCTCGCGCCGCTCTTGGCGCTGTCGTCATTGGACGTGCTGCTGTAAGTCTGACAACGACCATCTGATGTGCACCACCCCTCCCCTCATGCACTAACACACAACCAGGCCCACGGCATCGACCTGATCAGCGTCCCAACCAACCTCTGTCTCGGAATCCTCGGTGAAGCCGAGTGCAAGCAAAAGACCAGCTCTGGAGGCCTCATCTCCGTTCCTGTCAACGCTTGTGTTGCCGCCCTCGGCAAGATCAAGTGCGACCAAGTCTCTGGTGGTAACAATAGTGGCAGTCTCGTCAGCATTCCTATTAATCTATGCGCTGGTGTTCTTGGTGAAGCCGAGTGCAAGCAGAAGTCCAGTTCTGGTGGCCTCGTCTCTGTCCCCGTCAATGCCTGTGTTGCCGCTCTTGGTGCCGCCAAGTGCGACCAAGCCTCTGGTGACAATAGTGGCAGTCTCATCAGCATTCCCGTCGGCCTGTGCGCCGCTGTTCTTGGTGAGGCCGAGTGCCAGCAGAAGTCTACCTCCGGCGGGCTCGTCTCTGTTCCCGTCAACGCTTGTGCTGCCGCCCTCGGCAAGGCCAAGTGCGACCAAGCCTCTGGTGGTGGCGAGGGCAGCCTCATCTCTGTTCCTGTGAATGTTTGCGCTGCCGTCCTCGGCAATGCTGA